TCCCCACGACGGGGTGAGCTCCCGTTGCTCGGTCCCTGCTCCTGCCAACCTAGCAGTTCGAAAGAACGTCAAAGTGCAAGTAGATAAAAAGGTACCGCTCCGGCGGGAAGGTAAACGGCGTTTCAGTGAGCTGCTCTGGTTCGCCAGAAGCGGCTTAGTCATGCTGGCCACATGACCCGGAAGTTGTACACCGGCTCCCTCTGCCAATCAAGTGAGATGAGCGCCGCAACCCCAGAGTCAGCCACGACTGGACCTAATGGTCAGGGGTTCCTTTTCCTTTAAGGGTGCTGGGAGTTGTTAGGAGGCTCTTCCCAGGGCTACAGTTCCCAACACCCTTAGCAAAACTAAGTTCCCAGGATCCTTTGGAAGGAAGCCTCAACGGCTAGGTTGATTATTTCATGCTACCATTACCTGGCCCTTCAAGCGTTGCTGGACTGGAACTTTGATAATCTCAGAGCTTTGGCTATGCCAGCTGGAATTGATGGGAGGAGTCCCAACAACATCTGGACGCCCACAGGTGTAGGGTCTGTCCCCAGCTCTCCATGCCACCTCCTCTCCCAATTTGCAGTCCTCCGATGGACAAGGCAGCCAAGCTCTAACCCCTTTCCCTCTCTTCGGACACTTAACTTGAAATCACGTTAAGATTGTTATTTGTGAGTGTCTCCTCCTTCCTCCTCCTCCAGCGTCTTAATTAGGTGCTTGACAACATTAACTTTCAAATGGATGCAAAGCCTCTCTGTTGCAGCAAATACGCTTTGACGAAAGAATTAGGCTTCCCCCTCCTTCCGGCCCCCCTGTTTTGAGCTGCGGCAGATGCCTGCTCATTTGGAACAGGCTATTCAGGGTGAGCACGTACAAGCACTGCTTTCCCCCTTCAGTGGGTCGCCTGCCTGTGTGCCCATTAATGCCCCGCTGTGTTTCAAGATGGCAGCAGCAGCAGAAGAAGAAGAGTTTGGATTTGATATCCCGCCTTTCACCCCCTTTAAGGAGTTTCAAAGCGGCTAACATTCTCCTTTCCCTTCCTCCCCCACAACAAACACTCTGTGAGGTGAGGGAGGCTGAGAGACTTCAGAGAAGTGTGACTAGCCCAAGGTCACCCAGCAGCTGCATGTGGAGGAGCGGAGACGCGAACCCGGTTCCCCAGATTACGAGACTACCGCTCTTAACCACTACACCACACTGGAGGAGGCTGTAGAAGGGCAAAGCTGCTCCCCCTCAAATGAGTTTTGCCTCTGTTTGACGCTTCCCAGAGTCTTGTGTCCCGGATTAAGCCGCGCTGGTCCTTTTTAAAATGGAGAATAATAGATCTGGAGCCGGCACCTCTTTTCCCACCCAGAGCGCACTTTTCTGGCACCTCTCAGGTGGGCGCCATTGCAGGCTGGTGCTCCCCCTGCCCGCTTCTGGTCTTTACGTAATTCTGAGAAGCCCAAAACGAACATTTTGAGTCAAAATGGAAGGTTGGCCACCGTGTGCGAGTCTACACTTTTTTAGGTCTACAACTCCTCCTAGCCGCCATTGGTCAAGTAAATGGGTGGAGCCAATCGTATTTCCTTTTCTTCAGTCCCTCTCTTGTGTAGTGGCAATGGGCTTTAAGCTTTCCAGCCAGGCCTCTACCATTGCACACATGCACGTTTGCACGAGGACCCCTCCGAGCTGCCCTAGCCATCTGCCCAAATCTAAGGGAGGCGGGGATACATTTATTTGACCTGCACCAGAACCAGGGGTGACCCCCAAACTAGCTAGGGAGACACTGCACGGTTTCATTTCATTTCACTTTTAATTTGTATATCACCTTTCTATATGACTATATTCAAGGCGTTTTACAAGCTGAGGAAACAACAGAACAGACAGCAAAGACCACGCAACTAAGAGCAATCTGACCCGATACAAAAAAAAATCATAATAAAGGCGTAACTTTAAAACAAACAACTTAAATCAAATAAAGCAATATTCAATAATCCCTTGTTAAACTGGCATCTTTTCTGGGCTGCCCTGAGTTGCCCAACTTCATTGTGAGTTCCAGCACCTATTTTTCTTGGTGTTCATGCCAGAAGCATGACCTAAGTGCGCATTAATTATGTCAGGAGTGGAATTCGGGTAGCGGGCAGTGACTTTGTTTTATCTTGTTTTATTTGTGTGTGTCTCTCACGCACAGAATCCCCATTTACCACAGCAGCCTTGGAAACACCTCATGGTTTTTTGGGTCATATGTTTTTTGGGTTCCTAACATTGAATGAGAGCATTTAATATATTATATCAGGTGCCTTGTCTCATCTGTGGAGGTATGCCAAATTCTCCAGTTGGGTTTCCACCCCGGAATCACATGCAATAGCCCCCCAAGTGCTCTATCTGAGCCCGTATGTCTCTGAATCCCAGTTGCTAGGCATTGCAGGTTGCAACGGCACGGCTGTCCTCATGTCTTACTCATGAGCTTCCCATGGGTATCTGTTCTGCCCCTGTGAGAGCATGATGCTGGGCTTCAATAGGCCTCTGCTCTGATCCAGTACTGTGGCTCTTCTTATATCCCTGGCATAGCTGGCTTCCAAAGAGGACAAGGCAAATTCATAGAGGAAAGGGTTAGGTCCATGACCACCGGCCGCAGCAGCAGCTGCTGATGGAATCTCCGAACTTCAGAGGCAATGCTTTGCTTAATTACCAGATGCGAAGGGCAAACAAGAAGGAATGGCTCGTCTTCGTAGCTCCCTGAGTTTTCCCCAAGGATACCTGGCTTTTTCACTGTCCGGAACGGGAGTGCTGGGTTTGATGAGTTGCAACTGTGATCCAGCCAGGCGGTTCTCAAGTTGTGTTAGCACCATCTACTGGCGAGTCAAATGTTCTGTGGAAACCGATTAGCAGGTTTCGTGGTACAGAACTTGGCTGCGTCACAGAATTGTCAAGGGCTCGGGTTTTTTGGTGGGGACTTAAGAAAGCAGTCCTGTGTGCCTCCTTCCCAACCACAAATCACTGGTTGCCACGGCTAGCCAAAATTAGTGGACCACTGTGGAGGTGGGCATCTCTGGCACCCAACACTTAGCGTGGAACCTTTTGCAGTTCCCTTGCAGCAGGAATTGACATTGGACATCTCTGCCTTTGAGCAGAGATACAATACAGTGGTACCTCAGGTTACATACGCTTCAGGTTACATATGCTTCAGGTTACAGACTCCGCTAACCCAGAAATAGTGCTTCAGGTTAAGAACTTTGCTTCAGGATGAGAACAGAAATTGTGCTCCGGTGGCGCGGCGGCAGCAGGAGGCCAGCTAAAGTGGTGCTTCGGGTTAAGAACAGTTTCAGGTTAAGAACGTACCTCCGGAACGAATTAAGTACTTAACCTGAGGTACCACTGTATCTACTAGTGGGCTGGAGCATCCATTATCCTTTGACCCCTGGCAAATCCAAAATACGCTTTGCCATTTATTCTTGCAAGGTTTTGCTCTGCTTTAGTCTTTACTGAAAGGTGATAAGTGAGTTGCCTGGTATTGGTTGAAAAAGCAGTAGTGTGGGTTCACAAAGTCAGAGACTAGGATATGTGTTGTTTTTTCTTTTTTGCAAGATCCTGCGCAAGATCTAGAGTGTCTAGCCTTATCACATAATGTCCAAGCTAAGTTGCCTGTGTTCCCAGCCTCCTTTGTTTCTCTCCTTTGCGCTGAAAAGCAGAGCAGTGTGCTATTGTTCACCCTAGACAACCACTGAATGACAGTCGCCAATTGAGGGCACCCTTATAAATTGATAGCTTGCGGTTCAGTTCTTTGAGGCTATTGATACAGCGTCACAGTTGTGGAACACATTTCCTGGGGAGTATTGCCTGGCTATTTATTTCTCCCTTTAATTTTAGGGAACACTCTTGGTTCTGGCAGGTTGTTTCCATTGAGTCTCTGAAGAATGAGTTGTTCTCTCTCTCTTTAAAGCTTGATGACTCCTTTTAGTCATTTTATCATTTCATGGGTTCTCATTTCTTTTATCGCTTCTGCCACCCGTGTCAAACTAAAACCATCCCTGCACAACAGACGCCCCAGGGGCCAGGCTATAATTTTTTTAAACGAAAGATTAAGTTCTGCCCAAGTTTGCCCCAGAGCCATCAATTCTGTAAGCATCAGGAAAAACTTTCTGACAGTAAGAGCTGTTTGACAGTGGAATGGTCTCCCTCGGGAGGTGATAGACTCGCCTTCCTTGGAGGTTTTTAAGCAGAGGTTGGACGGCCATCTGTCATGGATGCTTTAGCTGAGATTCCTGCATTGCAGGGGGTTGGACTAGATGACCCTCGGGGTCCCTTCCAAGTCTACGATTCTGTGATTTACCCTGGGTATAGGGAGCCTCCAACCTGCCAGATGGTGCTGAACTGTACCTCTCATCAGCCCAAACAAGCATGGCCAGCGGCCAGGAATGATGGTAGTTTGGCAATGTCTGGGGGGGCCAAAGATTCCCCACAGGTGATTTAGACACTGGCATTCAGGTCTAGCCACTGTTGAAGAATCTTCTTGACCCATTCATTCTTTTTTCACTTCAGTGTTGGAGGAACCTTTTAGGAACTTTGCATTGCACGTTGCAATATTCTGGTTTTCAGTTGATTTTGTCCGTTTGTATTATATCTTTGTTAAATTGCTTTGAGACTTTTGTTGTTGTTGCATAAATCGGTGGGAAAAAATGTAATAAATAATAACAATCGATTTCCTAGGCATGGTTCAGAAATTTGTATCAAGGCACCACAAATGGTGTTAGAACACCCAAAGGGCCTGAGAAGACCTCTAGCCTTGGTTTAATCTGTGTTTGAAATACTGGGTGGTTTTACTCAAAATAGACCCATTGAAATGAATGGACATGGCTAAATTAGGCCCATTAATTTCAGTGGGTCCATTCTGAGTTAAACCCACTGCTTTTATTATTTCCATGCACCACTTGGGAATACTGTGTGTGTGTGTGTGTGTGTGTGTGTGTGTGTGTGTGTGTATCGAAAACCTTTCTTGCCAGGTTTTTCTAAATAAGACCTCTTTCTTCTTTCAGGTGCTACAAGAGAAATTGGCTCTGCTCTGACCCGAATGTGCATGAGGCACAGAAGCATAGAGTCCAAACTCAGGCAGTTCTCAAGGTGAGTTAATGCATGCCAGTGAGCTGACACAAATCGGAAGGAGCCCTTCATTATTAGCTCCTGGACTTTGGTCAAGATGTAATTGCTACACAACCCCTTTCATTCAGGACCACATTAAGTTGTTTGCTGGGGCTGGCTTCCAGCTAACCTCTGACTTTCGGTTGCTGGGAACACCCTTTCCTTTTCTCCCATCAAACAAACCGGGCTTTGTGGGAGAGGAAGAGTTTACTGCCCACCCCGAGGAAAAAAACAGAGGCTTGCTGGCACAACCCTCTTTGCACACCAGGAATTCCTAGTCATGGCATTAAGTGTAACTCAGCAGTGAATGAGGGACGCCAAAGGGGGATCGGTTCGAAAGCTGACAACTTGGGAAGTTGCTGCAAAAACAAATTATTTTATTGGGCCTTCTCCAGTATCTGGTAACTCTCGAGGGAGTCTGAGAGCTACAGTTGCTCCGGGAGATTTAGCTATGAAATGGAGAGTCCCACCGCCCAACCCCTTTGATCTAGACACCCAATAGCCAGCCCTACACTTTTCATACCACCTGCAATATGGACGCAATAATGCACAGCCTAACGTGATGGGCTGTTGAGAACACTTCAAAATAATTTTATGAATGGGTTAGCGCAGCTCATAGATATTGAGGGGGTTTCTGAGCAGTCGGTGGGTCTGGCTTAGGGTAGATTCAGGTTGATTCCCCCTGCCCCCTTTGCAGGATTTGATTCCTCTTTGTGTTTTCTCAACAAAATTAGTGCTTTAATAGACTGTCTGATAAACCCACTTCAAGAGCAGATGGAAGAATGGAAGAAAGCAGCCAATCAACTGGATAAAGACCATGCAAAAGGTAGTTATATGGAAAAGGAGCCATGGACAAGATGTGGCTGAACGATACAGGTTTTAAAATATAACTGTGCAAGTGTTTACTTTTTGTGCTGTGTTTTTGAGAATCTGGTCACACGAGGTGGCGATGGCCGCTTATGGGATGACGCAGGTACAACCAGGGTTATGCATGAGCCAGCGCTAAGAAATCAGGAATGGGCTGTGAGAATCGCACACTCCTTTGCTGCATCTCCTTCCGTCCCTTAAGCAAACCCCCCTTTCCTTCTGCAACCACCTTTAAGCGTCATGTTAGCTCCAGTGTTATAAACATGGTTAGGTTTAACCACAGTTTCCGTTTTTAATAGGGGTTTGGAACCATGGTTTAATGGAGTTGGCTTTCAAGTCCTGGTTTTGAGTAGGTGCCAAGGGTAGCCTTAATACTGTCACTTAGCGCTGTTAAAGTAATGCAGGTGGCTTGCCACTTTTTCCTAAGCTGGAAAGGACTTCAGGCGAAGGATCACGCAGCTCTGCACCTGGTGCTCAGTCTCTTAACCATGGATAAAGAGGTACCAGGATCAACATCTGAAGATTTGATAGAAGTCGCCACTTCTAAAAAAAAGAGTGATGTGTTCATTTTATGCAGAGATTTCAGGCCATAAGGCTAAGTATTGCTTGCAACCGCTTTAATGTTTTGTGTGTGCTTAAATGCACCCTCAAGTGCTGAGAAGAAAGTACAGTGGATGCTCAGGTTGCAAATGTGATCCGTGCAGGATGCACGTTCGCAACCCGCATCTGCGCATGCACGGGTTGCGATTTGGTGCTTCTGCACATGCGCGACTGCTGAAACCTGGAAGTGCCGTATTTTTCGCTCTATAAGACGCACCAGACCACAAGAGGCACCTAGTTTTGGGAGGAGGAAAACATGAAAAAAAAATATTCTGAATCACAGAAGCCAGAACAGCAAGAGGGATCGCTGAGCAGTGAAAGCAGCAATCCCTCTTGCTGTTCTGGCTTCTGGGATAGCTGCGCATCCTGCATTCGCTCCATAAGACGCACACACATTTCCCCTTACTTTTTAGGAGGGAAAAAGTGAGTCTTATAGAGCAAAAAATACGGTAACCTGTTCTGGTACTTCTGGGTTTCGGCGGACTGCAACCCGAAAAAACAACCTGAAGCGCCTGTAACCCGAGGTATGAGTGTACAACCAGAATCTGGGACTTTGCGAAGCCCCAGTTGCTAGAACCCGCGGTTCTGCCCTGTTAACTGCAGAGGGGTGCATTTGTAGTAGTCTTAACCACAGGAAGCCACGGTTTCTTAAAATAAAATGAAAGAACAATAAAAGACAGGTTACCACTAAAACCTGATGCTCTCTAAGAACATCCTGTCTGGCTGTTTTGAACAATTGCTGCTTCTCAAATAGGACAGGTGAACCGGTGGTTAGGCTGTGCCACAGCAGGTAGATTTAGTGGTAGAGCTGCTACCTTTTCTTCATCCTCCTAGCTTGTGCTGGCCGGGGCATTTAATTTTCATTTCATTTTCATTTGTATGCCACCTTTCTATATTGCTATATGGACAAGGCGGTTTACAAAGCTGAAGAAACAACAAAACAGATGGCAAAGTTTTTGTTTTATTGTGTATTTTGTATTCTCAATTTGTATTTTTCTGTTGTGAACTGCCCTGGGATCTTTGGATGAAGGGCAATATACAAATTTAATAAATAATATTAATATTTTCCTGCTCTTCCCTTCCCTTTTACATACTGCTTTTGTGCTAAATAATAGTGAAATGCATTAGGATGCATCAACAGAGAAAAGTAGCTTAAATTGCTTTCTCAAACACTGCATGCCATTCTCTGAACTCCTAGCATCATCAGGCATAGGCAGATCTGTTTGTTTATTTTTACAAAGCATGCCATAGCACAGATGTCAAATGTGTTGATATTCAGACTGTGTTTCCCTCCTTCCCTCTTTCTCTCTCTAGAATACAAGAAAGCCCGCCAGGAGATTAAAAAGAAATCTTCAGACACACTGAAACTACAGAAGAAAGCAAAGAAAGGTAAATTTCTCCCTGAGGTTTTCCTTACTTGCTTGGTGTGTGGCTGCTCTGAATTTCCTGTTTGTTTTTTTATTGCAGCAAAAAGCTGTGTTTCTGTGACTGTGCATAAATAATAATTTGGATGTATTGATTTGTTTTTGCCAAACACACACACACACACACACACACACACACCTCCAATTTAGGGTGGAATTAAACGTTGTGGTCTTCTGGCCATTTCATCTGTCTTTTTGAAAGATGGTCTCCCACCCTCTCCTCCCCCTTTGCACTGTTCTGAGGGATTCTTCTGACAAATACACCCCAAGCCAATTTCAAGGGTGTGGTGTGAGTGGGGGGACAAAGCCCCATTGCAGAAGCAAAAGGCCTTGCACAGGGTTTCCATTGACGGGGCTGGATAGGCGAATCCCAATCAGAGTCTCCATCCATCCTGGAGAAATTTTCACAAAGCTGAACCCCGTTCTAAACTTAATAGGCTCACGTCCACCCCATACATTTAACACACATTCAACACACATTTAACACACATTTAAAGCATGTGGCTAGTGTGGTGTAGTGTGGTGTAGTGGTTAAGAGTGGTAGTCTTGTAATCTGGGGAACCGGGTTCGCTTCCCTGCTCCTCCACATGCAGCTGCTGGGTGACCTTGGGCCAGTCACACTTCTTGAAGTCTCTCAGCCCCACTCACCTCACAGAGTGTTTGTTGTGGGGGAGGAAGGGAAAGGAGAATGTTAGCCGCTTTGAGACTCCTTAAAGGGAGTGAAAGGAGGGATATCAAATCCAAACTCTTCTTCCCCCACCCCTGGAATCATGGGAACTGTAGTTTGTTGATGATTCTAGGAATTGTAGCTGTGTGCTTCGAACTACAAGTACCAGGATTCTTGAGGTGCAGGGTGAGAAATACACTTTAAATGTATAGTGTAAATGTGATATAGACCTCGCACCTAGATACAGTGGATGCTCAGGTTGCAAACGTGATCTGTGCAGGATGCATGTTCGCAACCTGCAGCATTCGCAACTTGTGCGTGCGTGGGTTGCGATTCGGCGCTTCTGCGCATGTGCAAAGCGCAATTTAGCGTTTTTGCGCATGCGCGACTGTCGAAACCCAGAAGTAACCCGTTCCAGTACTTCCGGGTTTCAGCAGTCTGCAACCCGAAAAACACAACCTGAAGCGGACGCAACATGTATAGCCTGCTGCCTACTGCTTACGCCCGCTCTGTTCTCCAGACCACAGGGGCGCACAGGAGAATTTGCAGCAAGGCTCAAAAGCTTCCCTCCTTACTTGGCAGCTCTGCTGGACAGCTTCCCTATCGGTGTGGGATTGCTAGGACTTGCAGCCTCACTCTTCCACTGCCACTTTCCCAGTTGAGGCCCTGAGCCGCAGTTGGAGATGGTTTGATGCCAAACCAGCTTGCCCTGCGTATGGAATATGCAATAGCAGGACCCACCCGCTGGTTTTGCACACTCCGTTGGGGCCCAGCCCTCCATTTCAGAAGCATTGCATTACTGAATGGGCATGCGCCTCTTACGAAAATGCTTTCATGGCAACTATTGAAATTGCTGGGTGCCAGAGGGTTCTGAAGACGGACGCTTTCCTTTCCATCAAATTGGCTGTGCACTGAATTGCGCTCAGTGGTTTATAACACTGCAAAAATTACCTGGAAAGCGAACTGCCTTATGGCAAGTAAATTGGGAAACGTTGTCTGTTCCCAGCCATTGTGAATTCCATCCCTAAACAGCATAACTCCCACACTTAACTGCTGTCATGTTGACTGTTGTGATACGCATTTATTTGTGCTGAGTAGGAGGAAGTTTGGGTAAGCAGTAGGACTACTTCCTCCCACTGATGCAATTCTATAGGTGTAAGCTGCTGATGCGTTTTAATCACTGTATAAGTGCATCGGCCTTCGCACTGAAATAATTTCAATATTCCTTCAGAGTTCTGGTGCGAGTGTGTGTGTGTGTGTGTGTGTGTGTGTGTGTGTACCTGTCCCAACACCATGACCCCTTCATCCTGTAAAATCGGTCCCCCTATTACGTCTTGTGCTCCCAGCCAATTCTGGAGTCACAGCAGGAATAGAGAAGAGAATCACTTTCATAACGCTTAGAGTCAGGGGTCAGCAAACTTTTTTCAGCAGGGGGCCGGTCCATTGTCCCTCAGACCTGGGGGGGGGGGCGGACTATATTTTGAAGTGGGGGGAAAATGAATGAATTCCTATGCCCCACAAATAACCCAGAGATGCATTTTAAATAAAAGCACACATTCTACTCATGCAAAAACACCAGGCAGGCCCCACAAATAACCCAGAGACGCATTTTAAATAAAAGGACATATTCTACTCATGCAAAAACACCAGGCAGGCCCCACAAATAACCCAGAGACGCATTTTAAATAAAAGGACATATTCTACTCATGTAAAAACACACTGATTCCTGGACTGTCTGCGGGCCGGATTTAGAAGGCAATTGGGCCGGATCCGGCCTTAGTTTGCCTACCCATGGCTTAGACACTGTACTGAACAGTCTCTTTCAAATGCTAAGTCCACCCCAGGGTTGGTGTGCGGCACTGAGAGCAGGATACCTGCTCTTGACCATCAAGGTTGGTCCCTTGTCTGTCTCAGGAGACAATGGAGGAGTGTGCCTTTGGGGGTGAAGTCAAATGGTTGGAAGATTACAGCATCTGCTGTGGCTGTGGAGACTGGTGTGGGACAGACATGTTTTCGTTGAGGATTGGATCAGACAAAGGCGTCCAGTTGTTCTGTTGTAGGTGCATCGTGGTGTTTCTTCTCTCTGTGCTCCATCCTAGCAGTCATTCCTCCTCTGGTTGCTGTCGTGGATGCAAGACCTGACTGACTGTCTCCAGGTCTTCAGTCTTCTGCAGGGGATTCCCACACGATGAGGTTGATGTCGCCAGCCTTCATGTCCCGTTTGCGGACATCTTTGCAGTGCAGAGTTGGTCTGCCAACTGGCCTGGAGCCAGCTCCCCATAGAGCACATCCTTGGGGAACTTGCCATCTTCCGTTCTGTGGACCTTAGGATGATGGGATGGGCTTTGGGAAGGAGGCACAAGGCGTTAATACTCTGATTTACCGGAAACATGTAGGGTACTAGCCTTGTCCCCCTAGTCCACTGACCACACACCACGTGTCTTGTGCTGTCGAGATGTAACCTTGCCAAAATTTGATAACTACATTTTCTTCTTTGTCCAGCTATCTCTTGTTTCTTGTAGTCTCTGTCTGGCATATCTGTACACGCACGGTAGGGACGCGGGTGGCGCTGTGGGTAAAAGCCTCAGCGCCTAGGGCTTGCCGATCGAAAGGTCGGCGGTTCGAATCCCCGCGGCGGGGTGCGCTCCCGTCGCTCGGTCCCAGCGCCTGTCAACCTAGCAGTTCAAAAGCACCCACGGGTGCAAGTAGATAAATAGGGACCGCTTACTGGCGGGAAGGTAAACGGCGTTTCCGTGTGCTGCGCTGGCTCGCCAGATGCAGCTTTGTCACGCTGGCCACGTGACCCGGAAGTGTCTCCGGACAGCGCTGGCCCCCGGCCTCTTGAGTGAGATGGGCGCACAACCCCAGAGTCTGTCAAGAGTGGCCCGTACGGGCAGGGGTACCTTTACCTTTACCTTTTTACACGCACGGTGGCTCCTTTAGAGTGGAAATCTGTCCCTTCTGTTTGTCCATCCACGTGTATGGAAAATATGCAAGGGGGGAATTTATATAGTGGTCCACACACAAGCTGTTTTAACTTGGTTTTGTGATGTGACCAAGTTCCCTCTACTATTAGTAGTGCCTCCACCAGCTTTTGGAGCAAGCTCTCCCAACTCAGTTTACGATAAAGATGTTACAAACAAAACAAAACGAGAGGCACACTGCTGAAACTCCCTGTTTTATTAGAGTGAAGGTGCAATGTCAGTACTTTTACATTTTTCTCATGGTAAAACAGCCCAAAGCCATACTGGAAAATGGTTTGGATTGTAGGCACTTCCTTGATTGTGGGTTCTGCTGTTCACTTGTGCATCCAAATTTAATCCCATACAGCGGTACCTCGGGTTACATACGCTTCAGGCTACAGACTCTGGTAACCCAGAAATAGTACCTTGGGTTAAGAACTTTGCTTCAGGATGAGAACAGAAATCTTGCAGGAGCAGCAGGAGGCCCCATTAGCTAAAGTGGTGCTTCAGGTTAAGAACAGTTTCAGGTTAAGAACAGACCTCCGGAATGAATTAAGTACTTAACCCGAGGTACCACTGTATTCCCATTTGATCCCCATGTACTGTTTCCGCTGAAAATCCATTAGCAGCACCAGGTTCCACAATAAACTGTTGAGTGGAAGTGTCCTTGGATGTTAAAGGTATCAATAGCCCTTGAGAGTAAAGCTTGATTGCATCACTTCATTTTAAAAACCATGTTGGATTTGTTTGATGTATTCTCTCTGTCTTTCAGTTCAGTAAAATGTTTTTGGGTGTGCAGGCATTTCAAATTTTAATTTTGCTGCCCGTTTAAAAATTAAGATTACATGAAAGCTGATGAGATTTATGTACCTAGGATTCTGAACTGAGTGTATGAAATGTGATAGGCTAGGTGGTGCCTTTTTCTTAAGAAAAGCGAATTTCCCATTACAGATTGGGAATTTATTACAGTTCACCATGGTCTATTGCACTATATTGTATTTGTGTCTATTTTGATACTTGTTTTCAAACAGCTCAGCAAGCCTTTCAGTCGCCCTGGGCCTGTATCTATAGCTAAATACCATTTCTAGTTAGAAAACAAATGTGTCCATTAGTTTAACCATTTTCTTGAATCTTTTATTTTATTTTATTTTATTTTTTGCAACCATTTTTGCAAATGTGTAACGTAACATTGGCTTATTAACAGATTGATAGCCCAACCCATCAATAAATGGTATATTTAAAAAAATGGCAAACCAGTTTCAGCAGCAAATGGTAATCCTGAAATTCACATGATAATTTTTGCACTCTTTGGACCTTAGAATAAGATGGGTTGTC